GGAACCTAGTAACAGTCTCATTATAAAAAGAGCTTAATAATCATAAATATAATTTAAAAAAATTTTTTAAGATCATCATTAAGATTTAAAGTCACTTATTATATAACATCATCACAAGATAATACATTTTTGTAGATCTATATTTAATAATAATAGCTTGAGACTACAATTTGATATTTTTAGAGAGTGTATAAGTCAAATTATAAAAATTTGTTTTTAGTGTCCTCAACTTTTAATAATGATATTAATACTTGAGGACTTATATTTAATCAATTATAATAAACAGATGTTACTCATTTTTTATTTAAAAAAAATTAAATGTGTACATGTGATTTAACACCTTTTTTAAGATTTCTAGTTACAATTACTTTAACAGGAAACACAATCAAAAGTACAGTTAGTTACCGCCTATATTATCTTTTTATACTTGGTATTCCATATCATATTAAAATAAACAAAACTGACTATTGCAGTCAGACATTTGAGATGCTTTGTTGACAATTTGGTATTGCCCACGTTACTAAAATTCCTTATAATCCTTAAGGACAAGGTATTATAAAACAGATATTGTGGAACTTTAAAATAGTGTCTTCATGACTCTCTGAGTGTGGGAGAAGCAGCTGCTGGCACTTCTGCCCTGGTTTTACTAAGAACTCTAAAAAATTGGCTTTTAAAAACAAAAGAGGGGGACCAACACCCCTAAAAGGAGTCTCCCAGAAATACTCTCCATCATGCCTTGTTTGTTTTTAATTTTCTAAATCTGAAAGCTCATGGCAAACCTGCTGCTGACTGCCTCTGGCATGCTGAGACCAATAAAAACTATGTTACAGTTATATGGAAGAACCCTCTTACCTTTAAATGGAATGGCCTGGACCCAGTTCTCATAAGGGGCCGAGGATTGATATGCCTGTTTGACACCTAAGAAGGCACAGCTAAATGGCTGCCAAAAAGATTAATGAAATAAATAGATACTCCCACAAAGACAGGCCCAATTATAAATAAGATGAATATCAATTGACATCCATGGAAGAGAAATCTCCCTGGGATTTCCTTTCTTTTCCTTTCCAGGTAAGAATGAACCACCCGTGGTGTTTGCGGTTGGAAGTTCTAATCCTGATGGTGGCCTCCAGACTTATACTACTCAGACCTTCTATTGACAGGGACATCAATAGCTAGAGATTAACATCACTAATCTGAAGAAATTCCTTGCTTTGCTGTCTAAAATGATTTCCAAAAATGGAAAGGACTTTATTGGACTTGATTTACCATTTTACAATAGAAAAGATTGTGTACAGCTCTTGACTGTGTACAACCCTTAAAGAAGAATGTTGCTTTTACATAGACAAGACAGGGATGGTTAAAGAGAGCATGAAAAAGGTCAGAGAAGGCCCTGAGAAAAGACAGAGAGAGAGGGAGAAAGATGAGAGCTGGTACAAGAATTGGTTTTCAACCTCTCCATGGCTGTCAACTCTACTTCCTTCTATTTTGAGACTATTAATTGGGCTATTTTTGCTAATTCCTTTGGTCCCTGGGCCGACTAAATTTGTGAAACAACAGATAGATGATTTGATAGCGAAACCTATTCAGGTACATTATCATAAGTTAGCAATGGAGGACCATGAGACTCAAGATGAGGTTGTTACTCTATCCAGGGTGTTCCCAAAACACATCTCCACTCAACCTAAAAGAGGGGACTCCAACTCTTAAGCAGAGAGGGGTCACCCAGAAACCCTTCTGACTGGCGATCTAAATTTTGCTTAGGCTGCGAGGCTAAGCACTGCAAGGGAATATAAATAAAAGTTAAAAATATCTTTCTGGGTTCCTTGAGGGGGACAAGCCTGACTGCACAGGGGTTGATGTCAAAAGTATCCCCTCTCCAGGAAAAAGACATCGGGATGGGTATGGTCCTCATGCCTCACTGGACAACAATAGCAGGACTGGAGCCATTACAAGGTCTCCTTTAATTACTAGAGGTCAGGCCTCTATCCCCACCTTTGCAAGATTAGAATCGCCACAGTCCTTCTATACTTGGAGAGAGGGGGAATTGTCAGGGGCACCCCTGCTTATACACTGAAGGCCTAAAATTAGCCATAGGCCAAAAATCAGCCATAGGCCTGACATATATGCCTACTAACACAAAGTCTTGTGTCTCTGTGGAAAAACACTGAAATAGATGGCCAGAAGTTATTGTAAACAAGCAGCTTTGATGGAAGGCTGCCAAGCCTGGCTAGTCATAGACCTTGTAGATAGGTAACCTTGGTGGATAGTACCAACTTAGAAAAAGACAAGTGAATCATAGGCGGAGACATAGTGATCTGTCCCCTCAACCTTCACCCAGCTGACACTCTGTTCTGGAAGATATCTACTAAAAGGCTAGTTTTCTTTCTTTAATATATCTTGGAATATAGATTATGGCAATCACTGAAAACTAGTTTGTTAACAAGATACTAAAATACTTGAAAAGTATTCAAACATTAATTTTTAGAAAATAAACAAATGTGTGAATGGTACAGGAGGATCATAAATTCTAAGTCAGCCTTGTCTACAAACTTATACACAGTCTCTAAAGAAATAAACCGAGCAAAGAAAGAAAGCAAATGGTTGTTATATATCATTATTCTTACCGTCTTTACGTGTATAATTGTGGAATTCTACTGAAGGCCAGAAACCAGTAATCTGTCAGTTGAGTCATTATTTTATGATATACTTTATTATGCTAAATCTATACATTAAAAAATCATGTTCTAAAACTTTACTGTAATTATTTTGATATGTAAATACATTTAACACTAAGATTATTAAGAATTTCTAATCATTTAGTGAAGAAAAGAAAAAACCACATCAGACATAAAAGCTTGGATACATCCCTCACAACTAGCATATATCCTCTGTTGTCCCCACACCTACACCCCGACCTGATGAAGCCAACAGGACTATTTCTCCACAAAGCATGGTGTTGCTCAGGTGGAAATTCTGATGCTCTCAACACCCACATTCTTCGTCCACCCTGGGCAAAATAGTGTACCTTATAAAACAGGTAAGAAGAAAGAAATGAAGCAAGCTTACTTCCCCTCACACTCTGTATTTGGAAGCAAGTGAGCCCAGGTCATCTTGTAGGTGTACTGTTGCAGAAACTGGGATGACAGCCTTCTCAGACAGCTGAGTCAGTATCAGGAGACACAACTGGCTCTTTTGCTACCTGATGTCACTGACTTTATCAGAAATTAAGGTGATGTTATAAATCATCACTTGGAAAATATTTTTTAATGTATTAAAGAACATTGAAGGAAAAGAATAGTAAAATCATTGGATGGCCTTGCAGACTCCAGTAATAAGTTCTGGGTGATCAGATTCTAGATAAAAGTCTTATGCATGTTTTTGATGTTAAAATAGCATGGACTTTCCTGCCCCATAGGAGAAAGTGATAGGGTAGTTTACCTCTTATTTACTGTCAAATGTTGCTTGCAAAAGAAACTGTTAGGTAAAACATTGAGAGTATCAAAATAAAATGACTTAATGGTCATATTTTATGTGATGCCAATGTTATAATGGCCACCACAGAAAACAAATTCTTACAAGTAACTCAAAACTGATTCACCTGCCTACACTTGTTAATATTCTTGTTGCTATGGCAAAATAGTTGACAAAGGCAACTTAAGGGGGGAAGGGGTTGTTTTGGCTCATGAGTGAGAAGATACAGCCCATCAGGGTGAGAAAGAACTGGATCTAGGAGCATAAGGCAGCCGACAACACTGCATATGTGTCAGGGAGCAAAACGACAAGAGAGACTAGTGTGGTTCTCAGTTGGATGCTGCTCCTTTCTCTTTTTTATTTCCATGGAATGAATGATCACAGTTAAGCAGGGCAAGCTGCCCCTTGTGTGTTAAGCTGCTCTGGAAATGCTCACAGTCTCAGAGGTCAGTCAGTAACTTTCACTCCAGCCATGTCCAAAAAACCGACTAAATATGAGAAAGCTATTTGTCATTGTAACATCCGGACATATCAGTTTTAAATATAACAACAGTTCTCAAACTATGGGTAGTAACCTCACTGGAGACTGAAAGAACCTTTCACAGGAATTGCATATCAGATATTCTGCATGTGAGATATTTACATTCTGATCCAAAACAATAGCAAAATTACAGTTATAAAGTAGCAACAAAATAAATTTATGGTTGGGGGTCACCACAACATGAGGGGTATGTCAGAAGGTCACAGCATTGGGAAGCTTGCGAACCATGGAAATATAACATTTACTCTGGTCCTCCAAGACTCGAGTACCTGACAACACAATATAAATTTAGTTTATCCTGAAAAGGTGAACCTCTCTGCCACAGATTTTAATAGTTCTAACACTGTTCTAAAGTTCAAGATCTGCAGTCTCTTCTGATACTCAGGACTTCTAGGCTTGTGAGTCCCTGAAAACAAAGGAAATAAAAAGATGCATACTTCTAATACACAATTATTTACTCGTTGCTCTATTCCTCTATGTCCTAAGAATTTAACTACTCAAAAATAGAAACTGAACAGAAAATGAAAACAAAAAATTTATCTAATTTATCCCTGCATTAAATAGTAGGGTCTGAAAATGATGCAAAAAAAAGTCTTTAAGTAACAATAAAGTGATGCTATGACTCAAGAAAAGACAAAATAAAATGTGAGAATGTCAAATCCAAGGTGAGGATGAAAGGAAGCAGAGCCTTCAGAGGTTAGAGAAGGAAATGAACATGAGGCACATTGAATCCAGACCAGACTGAGAGCATGGCAAGGCCAGGAAACACATGCTGACATTTAGTCATCATACCTCGTTACTTTAAACCTTCGACATCTTAGGTATGCGACACTACAGAGTCACCATCCTTTTTAAACCATAAAAATACAGGCTCAGTTAACCATAGCTAAACACAGGAACACACATACTGTTGTAAGCTTACCAATGATTATTATTTATCTAAATTAAGAGGTAACATATAAAACAGACCTACGTCTTTGCAACTTACTTTAAACAAGGTACATTATCACGAAGCCCATCAGATGAGCTGCTACTGGTAGACGGATGAGACTGAGGAGGAATGGCCTGAGGGTTGGAGCTGCCCACAGGGGTAGACAAAGGTGGCGGCTGCTCACCCTCTGGTGTTTCCACATCATTGATTTCATATAACAGTCGAACTTCAAGCATCTGTCATAAAAGAATGGCTGTTAAACTATTCCTAAATAGTTAATACTCATTGTATCATAATATACCAGAAAGAATACTTTTAAAGGTTAAAAAAAGCTATATTTAAAAGAAAAAAATGGAGTTTTAACTAAACTTTTAAAAATCTGTGTACATAGGTGTGAGTTCACACATGTACATACATATGCATCATGGCTGTAGAATATATTGAATACCAGTAAGTTGATATTCCTTAAATAAAAGATATAATATACTTAAAGATCCTAATAGTCCATTTATATATATATATATATATATATATATATATATATATATATATGTATATGTATATATATTGCAATTTTTCACAGAACAGGTGGTGATATAAATACTAACCTGCTTCCAAAATTTTTATGCAAAAGCAACTGTAAGAAGTTTTTAAAGCTTAAAAATATCAAACAATTGACATGGAAAGAGTTATGAGGCAATTACCGGAATGACTTCTGTAAGTACTTCCTGTTTGCTGAATCTATAAATGATGACATGAGCTGACACTCCAGCTATGCACAGCATTCTGCTCTCTGGGCACCAGGAGATGATCTGAATGGCATATGGATCTTCATCTACAATGTCGGTGTTCTGTCTGTCGTCTTTATTTCTTGACTTTTCAAATACTTTAGATGTTTTTAATTTATACAGTACTTGTAGAGTTACTAGAAAAAAGTTTATTACAAATTTTAGCTAAAAAATCAAAAATTGTTAATTCTGCCCTGCCACCCTTTTCAGACATTTCCTGCTCATCTTCATTCCTCTGTGACTGACTCCCTGCCAACCATTAATCTCTCTCTACCAAGGGCCTAGTAGAACCTCCATACTTTGCTGGGATTATCCACAGATTCCACACCTGGCTAGAAACCAGAGTGGGGAACAGCAAGCAAAGAATGGAACAACCACCCAAGACAAGATCAAACATTTACACTAAATAAGTATCTACACTTCAAGAGTCATGACTAAATATCTAGATTTTAGTGTAAAATCACAAACATGAGCAACCATGGCGATATGCCTCCTTCAGGAGGTAGCAACCCTGTATAACAGACACGCAGGAAAACAATGTAACTGCAGCATAATACAGGGATGTGACAACAGCAGCTATGAAGATTGTTCAAGGACACTGAAGAGGAACTGAATGCATGCTTCAATGAAGACTGACAACACAAACAGTTCAATGAAACAACGGGAGCCATTCAAGACATGAAAGTCGAATTTAACACAGAAATAATAAAACTCAAGAAATGCAAGCTGAAATAAAACTCAGAAAGTCAAACTAAAATTTCATCTACAGATAAGAAGACTTGGAATAAAGAATGGTCTTGAAGGAAAGGTCTTGAAGGCAAGTTAGAAAACTGGATAGTTCAGCAAAAGAAAATATTAAATCTAAAAAAAAAATCCATAACCAGAACATCCAGAAATCTGAAACACCATGAAAAGACACAATCTACAAATAATAAGACTAGTGATGAGAGAAGAAATCCAGGTCAAAGGCTCAGAAAATATCTTTAGCAAATCCATAGAAGAAAATTTACTCAGTCTAAAGAAAGAGATTATCAAATTATGAGAAGCATATAGAACACCAGATAGACAAGACTAGAAAAGAAATTCCCCACAACATATAGTACTCAAGACAATAAATGTATAAAACAAAAAAGGATATTAAAAATCCCAAAAGAAAATGAGCAAATAACATAAAGGCAGACATGGGAATAACACCTGACTTCTCAGTGGAGACTCTGAAAGCCACAAAGCTCTGAGACCATAATCTCTGAGAATCTACAGATGCCAGACTAAACTACCATATCCACTAAAATATCAATCACAATTGATGGAGAAAGAAAAACATTTTATGATAAAAGCAAATTTAAGTAATTACTATCCATCAATACAGCTCTACAGAAGGCACTACAAGAAAAACTTCAGTCTGAAGAGAAGGTTAACAGTATCTAATAGGACAATGGAATAAACAATACTAGAACAGTCCATCAAAAGAGGAGAAGAAACCAAACAAGCTTTGATACTACTATAAGATAAAAGTAAGTTACAGACAAATCATTGATAGCTCTCAACTGTAATGGTCTCAATTTCCCAATAAAAAGACATAGATTAACAGAATGGATTAGAAAACCTGATCCATATTTCTGATACATCTAAAAAATACATCTCACCATCAAGGATAGGCATTACCTTAGGGTAAGGATAGAAAATGTATTCCAAGAAAATAGACCTAAAAAAGCAAGCTGGTATAGCCATTTAAATATCTAATAAAATATGATTTTAAACCAAAAATTATCCAAAGAGATATAGAAGGATGCTCCATATGCATTAAAGAAAAACCTTATGCATCAAACACAAGATCACCCAAGTTCAGAAACAGTTCTAAAACAAAAATCACATATTGATCCTCATACAGAGATAGTTGGGGTAGGAGACTTCAATATCACATTCTTGCCAATAGACAGGTAAACCTGTCTATTGAAGAGATAATACTGGAGCTAACAGATGCCATAAATCAAATGGATTTAACAGACATCAAAGTGCATCTGCTCACGTACTAAAGAAGATACTTCGTTTTCAACAGCCCATTGACATTTCTCTAAAATTGGCTACATGTTAGGACACAAAGCAAATCTTAACAGATATAGAAAACTTGAAACAGCACTTGCACCCTATCTGATCACCATGGACTGCAGTTGGATAACAAAAGAAATTGCAGAAAGTATATAAACTCATGGGAATTGAACAGGTTATCACCGAATGAATATTGGGTCAAGAAAGAAATCAAACAAGGAAATTAGAATTTTAAAGCTGAATGAATGAGAGAACACAACACACCCAAACCCGTGGGACAGTGGATCTAAGAAGCACACAAACAGCACTAAGTGCTACACTAGCAAACCACAGACATCTCATATTGACAACTTATCTATGACACACTTGAAAGCTCTAAAATAAAAACTAACAAATAGTACTGAGGAAGAGTAAATGCCAAGAAATAAAGACTCAAGCTAAGTGGAGATATCAGTGAAATAGAAACTAACAAACCTAACACAAAGAATCAATACGGAGAATCAGTGGTTCTTTGAGAAAATTAACAAAATTTTAATTAAATTAATCAAAAGACACAGAAAGAAGATCCAAACTAATAAAATTAGATATGAAAATGGAGATATTACAGCAGATGGGAAATTCAGAGAATTATAACGACATACATAAAATTTGTACTCCACTAAATTAGAAATCCTAAAAGGAATGGATGAATTTGTAGATATAGATGATCTACTAAGGTTAGAATGAAATAAACAACCTAAAGAGACCCATAATCCATAATGAAATTGAAGCAGTAATTTAAAAATTCTCAACCATTTAAAAAAAAAAAAGGCTTGAGGTCAGATGGATTCAGGACGGGATTTTACTAACATTCAAAGAGGAACTAATACCAATCAATACTCCTTAAATTCCACAAAATAAAACCTAAAGAAATATTTCCTAGCTTGTTTTACAAAGGCATGATTACTCTTATAAAAAAAACCATACAAAGACTCAACAACAGAAGAAAGAAAATTAAAGACCAATATCCCTTGTTTGGTTTCTTCTCCTCTTTTGATGGACTGTTCTAGTATTGTTTATTCCATTGTCCTATTAGATACTGTTAACCTTCTCTTCAGACTGAAGTTTTTCTTGTAGTGCCTTCTGTAGAGCTGTATTGATGGATAGTAATTACTTAAATTTGCTTTTATCATAAAATGTTTTTCCCTTGTAAACATACATGCATAACACTCAATTAAATACTTGCAAGCTGAATACAAGAACACCTCAAAAAAGATTATCCACCTTGAGCATATTGCCTCTGCCATCAGAGTGCTGGGATTAAAGGCATGTGCCACAACTGTCTGGCTTAAAATAATTTGGAGTAATAAACAACTGCTAGAGGTATTAGCTGATTTCAAACTGTATCATAGAGCTGTGTAATAAAAACAACCTGGAGTATTGGCATAAAAACGTTGATCAAGGAATATAATAATTAAAGACCCAGATATAAGTTCACATACCTACAGTGACACTTAAGTTTTTTGAAAGAAGCCAAAGATGCACACTGGAGAAAAGACAGCATCTGCAACAAGTGGTGCTGGCCAAAGTACATAGTTGGATGTAGAAGAATGAAAATAGGTCCATATCCATCACTCTGCACAAAACAACTACTGCAGAGGTTAGGTAGTTAATGGACCAGGAACCGGGATGGGAGGAGAATTTCCAAGGAAGGGGAAATATCATTGAGCTACAAGCCCTGTGACCTACAACAGTGACCTGCCTGCAAGGTATACTGGTGTGATAGTGGCACAAATGGTTTGAAAGTAACCAACAATGTTTTCTTTTAATTGGATTTAAGGCCTACTCTCAGGGCTTGGAACCTATACCCAACATGGAACCTATAACTCAAACTACTAAAGCGGTCAAGAACTTAAGACTACCTAGGTCATGAGCCCTGGGGGGGGGGGGGAAACTACTGCTATTATTGTGATAACAAGAATAAATTGATCAGTGCTATATCCATAGATCAGTGCATTACTCAACTCTGATCTGAGAGCTTCTTTTTGCAATAGACAGTAACTAACAAAAGAGACCCACAATAAGACAATGCGCAGGGATTGAAAGACTTTGGCACTCAGCCATAAATAGATTGTCTTTATCAAACCCTTCCACCCAAGACTCCAAGGTATCAATGCACATACACACTCATAAGAGACTGTAACAGCTGCACAAGACCTGCACTAGCTCAAGCCAGACCAAGTCCCAGCATGGAGAAAGGGAAGCAGACACAGAATCTATCAAATCATCAAAATCAGCAAAATCATCAAAAGCTATTTCCAACTGATACCTGCTGCAAAGGAGAAAACCAGTATCCTCCAGTAGGGTGTCACTGGGTGTATCAGTCACACTCCAGGGCAGGCTCCAGGCCAGAAGTATTTGGCCAGTACAAAATAAACTCCATTGTGTGTGTATGCACACTTTTTGATTTGTTTTGTCCTATTGATTTTTGTTTTGCTTTTATTCCTTATTTATTTCTTATTTTGGGGGTGGGCAGGAAGTTTGAGGAGTTTGAAGGTCGGGGATCCAGGGGGAGTTGAGGGAGGGAAAGAACATGATCAAATATTGTATGAAAAATTTGTAAATAAAAAACTCCATCAAATCATTAAAAATCAAATATAATGGTTAATCATATTATGGAAGAAAAACAACCTATACTTACCTAAATATTTTGATTTCTCTATCTAGTTTTTAATATATTATACACTCAGACATTTCCATCCTCACAAAGGATTTAGATAACCTAAAGAAAAACTATAAAAGGAATTTGGCACAAAATCTTTGGTGTAAACACATGGAGAACACATTACATTTCCTAAAATGACATTCTATGTAAAACGGTTCTCTTCGAAAGGCACCAGTATTATCAAACATCCTGATAAAACCCTAGCTCTCCTGAGGTAAGTGACTCCCAGAAGTGCTTGCTCTAAGTGGTCTCTAACCACCACAGCTGTATCTTCCCACGTTTACTCCTGTCTAATCATGAGCTCACACTTACAAAGACAACAAAACCCTTTGTAGTATTAACTTAGAATTAGACACAAAAATTTTCTGATTTGGAATATATTTTCACTTCTATTTTTAACTTCTAAAGAGAATTTCTGAGGATTATTTGAAAAGATTGGAACACTGTTGAGAATTATTATTTGGTGTACTAATAACATTAAAATATCTTCACTCTTAAAAATTCTAAACGCACATAATGAATAAAACAATAAGTTAAGCTGATAACCTGGTATTTCCAACTCTAAAGTGGTTTCTATGGTTATTTAAAGCATCATGTATAGGGGCAATGGCCGTGGAATACAACAAGTAGTCAAGTCTTTGAAGTACTTACTTGCAGAAGCATCCCAGAATTTAACAGATCCATCAGCATGCCTAGGACAAACAAGACAGAGAAGAATATAAAGAGAAGAATAAAAAAGGAAAAAAAATTGTTACTTTTTAGCAAACTTATTCACTTAGATGAGTAAAAGGCAAAAATCATTGTAAATCAGTGAAATCTTACAGATAACTTTTCTATCACATTGTAGCATAAAAGAAAGCTTTACTGAGTGAATTAAAATTCAAACTGTCATCAAGCACATTAATGATTACTGATTTAATTGGTAAGAATATACTTTTACTTACCCTGTGATAATTATTTCTGGGTAACTTTGAGCACCCAAGCCCCAATTACCACCATTGATGGGCCATTCCTATAAAAAAAAATGAATGTTGACTTAGAAATATATATTCTCTATAGCAGATAATTACCATACAATATGGAGGTATATTAGGAAGATATGAACATAGTACACATAAGTTACTTCCAAAAAATAATTTCCTAAAAATTTAACAATGTTATCAACACCTCAAGGAGACAAATTTAAGATAGTAACATGTTAAATTAAACAGTGAAACTCGGGTTTGGTACCTTTTTGCTGTAACCTTGACGTTTCTGTCTAGCTCCAACAGAATAAAGTGCAGGAATAAGGTCCACAGGACAATCAGCAAAATATTCACAACATGTAACAGGGGACTCGTGTATACTCAAAGGGTAGGGATTCTCAAATATAGGGTATCTTTAACAATAGGAAAAAGAAAAACGCATTAACACATTGTAAGCTATGATTAACACAACCATGAAGACATTACTATACATTCTACTAAGATTACATTGATTTGATTATGAAAATGTGTAAAAACACTGAAGAGTTTTATTACAGAATATGCTCTTTATCCACCGAAGAACAGAAAGGCTGTGGTTGCAGCTACATCCCACTGCCACACACAAGCTGCGTGCTACATACACACTTGTCTCATGTGCTTCTCATACCTAATTTATGATACAGATTCCTGAACAACAAAGGCTTTCAGTAACCTGTCAGAACCAGGTGAGCTAAAAACTAGCTCAAACAGAAGTTGAAGCTGCCGTGAATCAATGAGCTATGTGTATGTCAACCAAGTACCTTACCCTTCTACAGGTACAGCTACCATAAATTTCAATTCATTTTTTTTTTCGAGACAGGGTTTCTCTTTATAGACCGGGTTGTCCTGGAACTCACTCTGTAGACCAGGCTGGCCTCGAACTCAGAAATCTGCCTGCCTCTGCCTCCCAAGTGCTGAGATTAAAGGCGTGCGCCACCACCGCCCGGCTCAATTCATTTTTTCCTCCATCAGTGTAAAACCTCATCCAATATTGAACGGAGAACACTTGTTTCGTGGGTCAGTCAACCACAGATATAACATGAGTGGGCTGACAGAGTATTGAGCAGAGCACACTTGTGTGTCTCGGGGGCATTTCCAGAGAGGACTAATGGGCAATGGGCGGCTCACCCTGGTAGAGCCATCTCACAAGGCTGCCCTGCCCCAGTGGACTCAAGGAGAGGACCTGCTGCGCCAGCAGCCCTGCCTGCTCTCTGGCTGCCAAGAGACTGTGAGCCTAACAACTGCTTTATGATATCTTCCTGCAAAGATAAGATGCTGCCAGTGTGAGCCACAGCAATGGATGGAGCCCTCTCAAACAATGAGTAACAACAAATACTTCCTTTCTTAAATGTTTACTCTCAGGCATCTGTCACACTGGCAGAAAGCTAATACATTTTAGTTCAGTAATAATCCAAATTATAATTACACTTTTCATGTTCTTTGGATATGAAGTCAGACACACTACTGGTGAGCCAAGAGGTTACCTCATTTTATAGCCATGTAATTGATTTATCAAGATAAACAAGCATTGCTTTAAAATTATTAAAATGTTAATGTGCTTAAAAACCAAAAACAGAGCAAGGCTTCTTAGAATGAGACTAGTTAAAGTATCTTTTTAAAAAGTGGAAACTAGCTGAGTCACGTACAAAGTACAAAATGACTATTTTATATATATTAGATTTACTAATTTGTCCATTGCTAATAATACTAAAAACAAATGATAATTAAGGGAAAAACCTTTATAGACTATGAGTCCAATCATTTTTACTTTTACCCCCAGACAAAAGATAAAACACACCCAAAAAGAGAAGTAACAAAAATTAACTTTCTTCTTTTTTTAAAATATCTTCTCCTCTGCTCCAAGGATCTAGGATTTCATACATCTAATTGACAGTTCTGCAAAACTAAAACCCCTTCTCCCATTTGACTTGAATAGTATTTTTCCTGATTTAATCATATCTCAGTTAGAACACATGCAACAAATTCCATTGTTCAAATGAATTACTTAGTAGATGAAAATAAAGAAAAATACATTAATAATATATTTTTCTACGGATGTCATACAGAGTTATTTTTAAATGGTCTTCTATAAAATAAAAACCAACCAACCAAACAAAAAAGCCTTATAACAAATAAGTACTATAAGTACGAGCCTCTAAGCTGAGATGTGCTCACAAAACAAAACCAGCAAACAGTACCACTTACATATACTAGGTTTCTCATCCTTAGTACCGTTCATACTGGGAGAAGTCTTGACTTGGAATTGGAAGCCTGTGTATTGTAGATGTCTGAAGTATATTTGTCTTTTATCCACTAGATGCCAGTAGCATCCCACTAATAAAGTATCTGTACAGAAACTGTCTAACAGTCCCTGGGGGCAGAACCACCTTAGCCTGAGGTTTACTGTGAATGATGCTGTGCTTCACTGTCATGTGTTGGGAGAAAATAAGTAATGTGTAGTTCCCTTCACAAGACAGAGTATTCCTGACAACAGGTAATAAATAGAGCAAGTACCAGGAGTTCTTACAAAGAGCTGATAGGGTAGGGATTTACAGATCAGAGATGTCTGTAGAGTCTAGAAAAGCCATAAATCACATAGTCAAAGTTGTGTGGATTCTGATGACAGTGAAACAAGAGGAGGGTTTTGGCTGGCAAAGCATTGTGCAAGAGAAGATATGAAATGTGATCTATTACACACAGTGCTGCTATCCCATAAGTTAAGGCCAGTATGAGAAGCTAGCAAGAGAGCAGCTTAGAAATAATACCCACTATCTTCGTAAAATAGCAGGCAGAGTAGTTAAAACAATAGCAATCAGTAGTTTAGAGTAATTAGGAACATGATGCAGGTTCTAGTGAATCCGAAAGGAATCTGGCACAATACATCACAACAGACTGAAGAGAGGGACAGAGAGTAAAAGGGTCATCAGAGGTAACCTGACATGGGTCCATTTTGGACAAGCTTTTTATCTACGGCTTCAGCATACACAAGCATGAAGTAGAAATGTAAGAAACTAAAGAAACTCTGAGCTGAGTAACAGATAATCACAATTCATTGCACATGGAGAAGCTGAACTGGTGCCTACAGGAGCCTTCATCCCTACGTACTAGTTTCTTTGGTACTGGAAGGTCTACTGCATGCTACTAAAGGAGAGACATAAACACCAATCCAGCCACAAACCCTCTGATCTGCAATGGGATCCTGCCTGAAATGCATTCTCAGGGAATGCTGGCAACAAACTTTGTGAGAATAAAAAACATCTGACTTGACTGAAGACCCACTATAGAAAATAGAACCCACACCTGACACTGCTTGGGTGACCAAGATCTAAGGTAAAACCAAATAATACTGATCCAAAAAAGTAGTAATAAAATGACCCCTAATTAACATTGCCCTATACTCACAGACCAGTGCTTTGCTCAGGCATCATCAGAGGAACTTCCTCTTGTAGCAGATGGGAACAAATACAGAGACCCACAGCCAGACATTATGCAGAGAACGAGAGAACTTGGAACGAACACACAGCCCTAAATGGGATGTCTCCATCAAATCCCTCCCTTCAGAGCTCAGGGATCTCCATGGAAGAGGAGGCAGAAAGAGTAGGAGCCAGAGGGGATGGAGGACATCAAGGAAACAAGGCCTTCTAAATCAACATAAATGATGTACCTAGGAACTCACAGAGCCTGAACAATTCTGTACCAGATGACATCCCGGAGCTGAAAGAAAAGGACATATGCCCCAAACTCTAAGCCAGGTCCCATATCTTATTGCTAACCACCTGCAAATGAGTATATGGTCAGCAGAAAACTAGTCACCAGTGCCTATGATGGCTCATTGTCTCATAGTGTCATGTCATGGCTGGGCTTTTCCTTTTATTTTTAAAATTATTATTAATTTTATCTCATTATTTTTATTGTATTTATATATAATTTTTTCTTTTCTCTTTTAGCCTTATAGGTCTTTTGTATATATATTATGGCATTAAGCTTAGTGTTTTTATGGGATACCTGTGTGTGAGAACAGTGGGTCTCTGTCTCTTGTGTTTCTCTTGGGTTCTTATCCTTCTGTTTGTTTTGTTTTATCTTATTACATCTTATTATTATCCCTTAGAGGAGTCTTTTGTCTTCTAAGGAGAGACAGGAATGAGTGGATCCAGATGGGAGGGGAGTGGGGAAGAAGTGGAATGGGAAAACATAATCAGGATATATTAAGTGAGGGAAACAAACTATTTTCAATAAAATGATAAAGAGAAACAGAAGAATCTATGATATCCACTATAATCAATACATTTCCGATTACTAGAAATGTGAATCTGGAGCACTAAAAAGAGATCATGTTTATAAATATAAAGTTTTAGTGGACTGTAATTCCTTAATGTCATGCTAAAAGAGGTCTTGTGGCTTCCCACACAGTAGCGGAGTTGCTCACCCAGTGTCCTTACCCATTTTGTGCAAGGTCTATCAGCACTAAATCCTTTTCCAGAAGAACAACCACAGCATACGGTTCCTGAAAATCTGCAACAGGAGAACACCCTCATGAACAGATTTTACAGACTCCAGGGGCAGCCACAGAAAACAGACATCTAGTTGAGCTCCTGTTTCAATTTCTTGAGTGTTTAGCATTTCCATGGGCTCAGAACAATTCATATAATTGATATGTCTTGGATGAGATAAATGTACAAAGTACTCCATTCAAAATTCTTATATATTTGTAAAGAAGAGTAAGACAAGAACCCCAAAGAAATTCTTTTTGATATTATATTTTCAAGGACGTGGCAGATACACACAATTTAACCCTGATCAGTTATCCTTATAGAATCTCAGAATAAGTCGATAGAGTTCTGTAATCTTTTTCATGTTAGTTAATACATGTCTGTTAATAACTACAAAACGAATTGTATCTTTGAACTTCAAAAAGATCCAAATAAAATGAAAAGACAGATAGATGTTTAAATGCATTCTGTGTTAACCTGTCCACGCTGTGGTGCCCCTAACTGCATGATTAGTACCAGTCTAGATGTTATCCTGAAGGAATATTTTAGAAATGACTAGCAGTCAATTTGGAATGCTGAACCAACCAGTTACTCTCAGAATGGCTGGGGCTAAACCTATCAGAATAAGGTCTTAGGGACAGAGACAGCTTTCCCAACAAAGACAGAATTCTCTGTGAGTTTTAAGCCCAGCACTACTCCCTGAGATTCCCACATGTTTCAGAACCATGACTTTAACTCATTCTGGACTTTTTCAGACTGTTAGTCCTGTAATCCTTCATGCACACACACATACCTAGTGCAATCCTTTATGTATATACACATATGCCTATATTGGATTTCTCTGGAGAAATCGAGGAAAATATTGTCTTGCAGAATTTAAATTACTCAACATGCTCAGTGCCTGTCTTTGAGTGGTAGTTAATATCAGTGTACAGTATGGAAGCGATAAAGTGTACTGAATAAAAATCAGCTGAAGTAAAACTGACCCTGTTATGAAGGCAGAATGCTTTCCCCTAAAGCATTACATCCAAGGAATATGGGAACCCCATTATGCTTACTGCAGCATAAGGCTCCTTTGAATGTTAGTATGTATGTACAGTGAGCCTTACCATTGGGATATGGCGTTTCACAGAGTGTGAGAAAGTCAACAATTGAATAGTCCATTTCCAGCACTGCCGTGCTTTTCCCATGCATCACTGTTAAGCAAGGTCTTCTTCCCACGGTATCATAGGATAAGCCTCCTGACAAAATAATAAAAGGTTCCCTGGAAATAAAAGACATAGTATGTTTGCAAATATCTGATGGGCACTATTTTTTTGCAGCATCATATAGCTATTTAGTGCTAGTATCCTCTAAAAAAATATATTTCACATAATGGAAAAGTTATATGTAGAATTTTTAATGTGGCTAAAGTCAAACCTAGTTTGCTAAAAATTAAACTACAATAAACATGGGCACGAGCCACACTTGACTGTAGGCCTTCTCTTAGTCCTCATTTTATTTCCTGTGGACAGTCGCCATAAAGGCTTCTGTGAGTTTCTGAGTGGCTTCTACTTTGGTGCTAACAAGGCTACTCAACAAATGTTCCCAAGAAAATCTCCTGGCACCAGGTAGTTACAGTATGTACTCTGAGTATTAAAGGACATAGCAAGAACTGTACTAGTTATAAACCACTTTTGACAACTGGGAAAGTGTCATTCAAATATTTTCTACAGGTGTTAATGTTTTCCAAGAATCTCCTCTACTAACGCTGAAGTCTTACACCACATTCTATGGGCTGTCTGCCTCTGTAATTCTCATGTTTCCAGTACACAACACCACACCTGCCCTCACTATACATATTAGTCACCATGAATAGTACATGATTTATCTACACCTATGTTATAAAAGCTACTCCTAAGTATCTTTTCATATATCACAATATGGGTACACTTTTTTAAATCCTAGACTTGATTTGATATTCCTTTATATGAAGTTATTTAACATGTAATGTGCATATAAATCATTCAAAATTGCCTACATATAAATTTTAAATTTTTTTTATAATTTTAGAAAAATTATTAAAAAATTGTAAAAAGAATTTTTAGAAAAATTATTCTAAAGGGTTTACTTTATTTTCAATGAAAGGTCTATCTATGAAAATGTGCACCTGAGTGCAGGTCCTGGAGTACGTCAGAGAAGACATCATATTCCTTGGAGCTGGAAAGCAGGCTGTCATGAGCTTCCTGATGTGGGTGATGGGAACCAAACTGTATCTTCTGTAAGAACAGTATGTGCTCTCAACTGTTAGTCTCCATCTCCAGCCCCTCATTTGTAACGTTTTAGTATCTAGAAAAAGCTTACTGTAAGGCCTGCATATTTATTCTCCATGCTATCATCCTGTTTCCTTCACCTCTGTGGAACGTTCAGTCTTTAGACCTACCTACCATCAATAGCACACGGTGACATGCAAGGGTACCAGGGCCAGGCCAGGAGCTCAAGCCCCTGCATTCACATCCTTGCTCTGGTCTCCTGCAAGCTGGATTTCACATCAAGGAAACAGAGACATACATACTGACAGGTATGTAACCCTCCAACTACTCCAACCAAGCAGTACTTGCCCCTCAGAACATCCTGTGTGAGCATTACCCGTTATAACTGTCGATGCCATCAAAACATCACAACTACACATGGCAAAATTTCCCTTATGGAACATGTACCAAAATATACACATAAATTAACAATACAACATAAAAATTGAAACCTCAAACATTTTTATATAAAACAAGAATATATTCACTAAAATACAGTTAGTTAGATAAGCAGCTAGATAGATATCTTGTAAGTAAATGATGAAAATTTGTTCTTACTTAGGGCACTTATTCAAAGTATAGAGAATGTGAGGGACTGAACAGAATACCTGTCTCTCTCTATAATGGTTTTGTTCACTCTCACACACCTTCATTCCTTGTTTGCTTTATTTTCCACAGTACGTATGATTGAAAACTAATTTGTTTTGCTCATTTTCTGTCTCATCAAAATATACTTTCTATGAAGGCTTTTAAAAAAATATGTTATTCTCTGCTTTATCTATAACAGTGCCCACCACATTAGGAAAAGTTATACTGTCCTTGAAATGTATTAACAAAGAATATGTTTCATTAACCATTTTCTACCTATTATTTATAATCACTATTATTGTGATTTGGATAATATTATTTTTCTGGCTAAACTCCAAAAATCCAATTTCAAAAATTTGTCCTGAATAAATCTACACTCCTATAGCCATTGTTTCAAACTCTAATCATTGTGTGGCTATCATTGTAGTGAGCAGATACTCTTTAATTTTCTTGTACTTATCACATACAATGAATAAACAGAAATTCATCTCTTTTGTACTTTGCCACTACTATAACATACAACTAAATTTAAAAAAAGAGTTAACTGGTGAATAAATATTTCTCAATTGTTTACAGAGTAGGATCCATGGGTAGTTTTTAGAAGTGGTAAATTCAAGAATTATATGTAAGTATTTTCTTTACATACAATCGATAAACAAACAATGATGTCAGCACCAAAGGTATGAGAAGAGAAAAGCTAGCTGCATTTCAAAGCCCAAAACCATTCCTGAAGACTAGTTTAGTTAAGTGATCAGTTCACACAGTACTAAGTCAGGAGACAGCTTTGTGTGAGAAAACAAGGTGCCACAAGAACACTCAAGGTGTTCATGGTAATGGGATACATAGCTCTGAATCCAGAAAAAATGCTGTGCACTCTATTAGGATCTATGGTGTTAGCCACCGCCTTTCCAAACCTCAATTCTTTGTGTTGGCTTTATATAATACTTGGAAAGTTCTACAGTTTTTTTATTTGCCTAATCCAACTTTGAAAGAGTCCAATCAGAACTTCTACTACCCTGAAAGCCTTTCTTGACCCATCCATTCTCACAAGGAGTCTCTCCTGCAAGATCCTAAGAATCTTTCCCACATCCTGACTGCCTGTACTACCACCAGTGACTGCCAGTGTTTATCTTCTTTCCAGTAATCTCTGTTACTTTAGACCCTGACTAGATCACAAATATGTACATAAATGTGAAACAGTGTGTGAAAGACATTTTAAATACCACTAAAGGATAACATTCAATAGCTCCCATGCCCTCCTTATCTGTCTACGGTATGATCCTTGGACTCATCACACCAGAGCAAAGAAGGCACAAGAAACAGAAGACTCAAGTCAGCCTCCTGTGAAAGCCAGGACCAACATTCATACTAAAGCCAAAGAAACTCAAATAATTAATAAGAGTCATGTAGTAAATAACTCTCTGCCTTAAAAAATAATGAAGAAGCACATCGACATCAGTGAGCGTATAGTGTACTTACTAAACTGGAAATGTAAGCGTATACGTTGATAATTAGCCCGCCTAACAGAATATGGGCCATAATTAGCACTCTATATTATTCATTAATCAGACACGAAACTCTACACTGTTAATTTTATGTAATTATCTACATTACTATGTGTATTACTAATCTTTTAAGTCATCAACACTTGCTTTCAAATGGAAAGTACAATTCTATTTCATAGAGAAGACAACAATCTCTACTGTAACTCATCAACATCTAATCTAGGTGCTCTGATGGAAATATATGACCTTATATCCTGAATCAAAAAGTTATGTTTACATCTATTTTGTGGACTACACAATAATATTAAATAAACTTGTGAATAGATGTGTTTGGATAAGTGACCCCAGAAGGTATCATACCCTATTCTTCCTTTTTGAAGTGATGTTTACTCTGTACTAATGTACACTGGTAATACTAAGCTTTCTTTTATTTTAGACAGGTACTCAAGAGATTCTCTGAGTCCTAGTAAAGACCCCAAATATAGATCCTTGAACAATGTTGGAACCATTAAGACTCTGTAGATTATCTGAAAGACCAATGTGTTTTACACAAGATGAATGGAAGTAGGTTATGGTTTTCAGAATCGTCTCTTTGGTTTTCAAGTCAACAGGGGGAAACTTATGTCTGTTAATCTAGGTTGTCAATTTGACAGCATGTAAACAGCTGGGTGTGGCTGAAGGAGTTTTGCAGTGAGACTTAACTGTGATGAGTTAACTCCCCCAGACTATGGGGGGCGCTGTTCTACAGGTGCTTGTCCTGGAGTTAAAAACAAGTGAGAAAATGTGCAGAGCAGAACACAACCATTCATCTCTCTGCTTCCTCATGCTGCACAAAATATGACCACATATGTATGTTCCTGTTCCCGCAGCCAGAGCTGCTCCCACTCATCGTAAGGACCCACCATGACGGCATGGCTATACTAAATGTGAATCATAACAAGTCCCTCTTCTCGGAAGCGTTCCTATCAGACATTCTGTCAAAGCAACAAGGAGCCAACAGAATGCACAGTTTCTTGTTTTGTTTTTTTGTTTTGTTTTGTTTTCTTTTTTTCTTTTTTGGTTTTTCGAGACAAGGTTTCTCTGAATAGCCCTGGCTGTCCTGGAACTCACTCTGTAGACCAGGCCAGCCTCGAACTCAGAAATCCTCCTGCCTCTGCCTTCCAAGTACTGGGATTAAAGGCATGCGCCACCACTGCCCAGCTAGTTTCTTGTTTTGTTTTGTTTTGTTTTGTTTTGTTTGTTTTGTTTTGTTTTGTTTGAGATATCTATCACACAAAACCTCCCCAGGATTTAAGAAAGAACATCTTTTCTGTCATCTATCCTTTGGATTCACTCTATGACTTTTCCAAGTCTTCATTTTTAGATTTTGCAGTTTCAACATCCCTCTCTACGCTCCAATATTTGTGCCAAGAGAAACCTTCACTAATTTAAAATAAAAACAAGAAATCATGTCTCTTAATCTTGGGAGACATGCCTGATTTTTATACGTACTCTCGAATTCAGCGAATACATGTCTTAAGCCAAGATTTTATACCATAATGTATAAAATTTTGTTTCCTTTTTTCCATATTTTACTTAATTTTTTTCAAGTGTATATTATGATAGAAAGTAACATATCTCATTGTGACATTCCATCTACAAACACACTTCATACTTCCTGTTCCCTTTATCCTCCCCTTGACTTCCTCCCTCTCTTTGCATTTTCTGTTAACTTCCTATAGAAATTTAAATTGAGATTCTACTTACAAGAGAAAATGTGAAATATATGTCTGAACTGAGTTATTTTGATTCCCATAAAAATCTCCAGTTACATCCATTCTCCTGACAACGTCATAACTATGTCCTTTATATTGAATATGATTCCATTGTGTATAAACATAGTATTCTCCTCATGTGTTGATAAACCTTTAGGCAAGTTCCACAATTTAGCTATTATGAGCAAAAGTAATCAATATAGGTGTGCAAGTCTGTTAAACATTTATTTTTGGATTGATTTTGTTCTTTGACAATTACACACACACACACACACGCACACACACACACACGTGCATGCTCCTGCCCACACGCGCATGCACACTTACACACATGCATGAACACACATACATGCGTGCACCCACACAGTATTATGAATAACCCACCCATCCATGCTCTCTTAGCTCCCTCCCACTCTTACTATTCGCATCTGTACAAATCCATTTCCCAGATTCATGACTTGGTTTTCATTCTGTGACTCATTTTGTTGAACCATCTCTGTGAGCACTGCTTGGCACCTGGTAGGATGTCTAGTATGTGTACAACGGAAGGCAATGACCTACCTCCCTGTATCTATCAGTCATATTCAGTTCAGTGATGAGATGTGTAACTCTCTGTTTCCTTCCACCATCTCTGCTGGACTGTTGACTGATTTATACTTATGCAGACCCAACCAATGCAGGCACCTAGAGCTGCTGTGCATTTCTGACTGCAATGCCTGTGTCTTGCCAGGAGACAGGTTTCACTGTGCCTCCCTAGAAACTCAAAGAGGCTATCTTCACATTTGCAGTAATCAGTAATCTTTCCATCTCTGTTGCCCAAACTGAATTACAAGTGTGTGCCTAGTATTGACTTATTGTTTGGACATATATCCCAAAGTGGTCTGTAATTGAATATTTGACATTGATTTCAAGTTTATATTCCAGTCATGCCAGTCTATATGCCCATTAGGCATAAAGGGTCCCCTTTCCCACATCCCTGTGTCAGCATCTGCTGTTCTAAGTATGTTGAAAATAGCCAGGGTGTAGAGTGGGTGGGGCTTTAAAGTGAGACAGCTGCTTTCATGCCTCATGCTTTCACCAAGTCTAATACTTAAACAGATATATGTAATCAATAAACAGAACCACACACAAACACACACACACATCCTAGAATAGAAAACTGCGTATCTCAAGAGCATATTTCTGAATACCCCAAGAAAGAAGGAAAGGAGAAGGGTCCTCACTCCTAGAATGACTTCTAAGCAAAGAGAAAAAAAATGTACAAGGTCCCTGAATGGATGATGACAGTTCCATAAGATCTCCTGATTTGCCAATAGGAACTGAAGCAGCAGGCGAGCAGGGGCTGGTTTAAGGGTCTCAATCTAATCAAAGAAGAAAGCCACGAAGCAAGGGAAAATAAAATCTTATTTAATTTATTGAATTTTCTATCCCAGGTAGGAGGAAGAGGGGTGGGGGTGAGGAGATAGTTAAGGGAGATCCTACTGATCACATTAATAGCTCAGACAAAAGCCTGCCAATGAGCAATGCATCCTTTTAACATTTCCCTTTCAAATCTGTGACAGGATCAGTGCTACTTTCCTTAGTGTAGAGAAACTGCAGCAGCCAGCAGCAGCTCAGTTTGAGGGAGGCAGCAGGCTTATGCACTGAGGGCAGGGTCTGGGCTTGCCCCTTTGCAGAGTTTAACAACCTCACCTCCATGGTGCACATAAGCACAGATTATTTTTTCTGGTTTGTTTCCTTTTAGATCTTCTGCTGCTGTTGCTTTTGCTCTTCCTTTTCCCTATTTTGATTCTTTTATGATATGGTAAATATGACAAACTATAGCTGTTCGGTGCCTGAAGCTTTCTTAATGAAAAAAGGTTTTTTACCCACTTGTAGGTTATTATGTACTGGGTAATGGGTAACTTTTATGCATACATGAGCAACTCAAGAAAGTCATCACATCCATTCTACATGAGTGTAAAAAATGATAACATCTAAGCACAAAGCAACCAGATAATTCTGTGTCAAAGATCATATAGTGAGGGCTTCCAAGCTCAACTGAATGGATAATTCTTTCCCCTGGATGTCAATGAAATTATTAACTGTTTCTGAATCGATTCTATATATTCATACTAGATCTCACAGGAAGGCTAGAAATGATGAAGACATACATAAATAAGAATAATTTTTCTTTCTTTCTTTAAAAAAAAGTCTATGGCCTTTTCTCAAAAGAGGTCAGAGCAAAGCTGAGTCAGATGACAGGTTAAAGAGGGAAAGAGGGCAGGCAGCTCCAACACCCTTGTTTACAAACTCGAGTATGAAAATGTACCAACAGCATCAGAGTTTCTTACAAAGTAAATCAAAACTGGTCTCTGGCTCTCACTGCACAGTTTCTGATTTAATGCCTGAGTGGATTGAGGGACAAGCCTCAGCTAACCCTGTTTTTGGTTCAGTTCCCTCCATTTGAGGACCACTCAACTATCCTATACAGATCGTCCGTCTTTAGATACCTTGGGTAAAGACAACTATAATAAGTAAGACGGAAGTAAAAATGCCTTTGGAAGTTAAAGAGAAGCAAAATTCCCAAAGAAATACTTTAAAAGTTTTTTTCTAAACACACATATTAGATTTATATATTCAATACAGCATTTCATACATAAAATTAAGACATTTAGATTGTGGGAATCAACTAGTTCTTACGCCTACTTCATCTCAGTGTCATCAGAGTATCTGTGTTAGGATATCACTGACAACTTTGTTCACTTAGTAAGCTGCATTCATTTCTGGGACTGTCAAACAGTCTTATGAAATTTAATTTCTGAATAGAAGACTCTTACCTATATACAGGATAGAGTATATTTTAATTATTCCCCTTTATCACTTTTCCATACTTTTCACACTAGCAAATATATATTACCATTTCCCTGGACCAACAGAATATATCATGTTTGGTATGAAAAATAATTCACTTTCCAACATGTACAGTTAAACTGCTAAAGACAGAAACCAATGGGTAATTGATGAAAGCATAAACCTTAAGACCAGATTGGACTATTTCACAGTAGGGCTTCAAACTCAACTATGTAGCCTTGCGTGATGCTGGCACCGCCCTGTATAAGGAGCATGGCCATGAGCCATCTTACCCAGATCTCGTCGTCTTGAACTCCACCTTGAGGATAGGCTTGCATGGCTCTGGTTTCTTCCCATCCTTCAACTGTTTTCCTAAAATATATTTTCCTGCATTAAATTCTAGATGACTCTATGTTCTTACATTGATAATTTATAAACTGAAAATTAAATATAATGAAACCCACCATTAGACAAAATAACTCTTAATTTCATATATGTATAATTACTGAGATAAAAATAAAATTTAAGGAAACCCACCAAGAAATGTCTTAAAACAATTTAAAACATTTAGTACAAAATAAGATATTTCTTTTTTTAAATAAGATATTTTATAGTGATGAAGTTAAATTACTGTGTGAACTACTATAGAAAAAGCAAATAAATTGAATAGCCTAATATTTATGTGATTAAATCTTTGCAAGAGAAAATGGTAGTCTTCCAGAATGTTAACTGTACCTATAGATAAGCAAAAGAGGACTTCAGTCTGCCTCGTGAATAAATATTTAAAATAGCAAAATTTGAGAAAAAGAAGTCTATCACATTTTCACCTAACTTCCCAGGGCTGCAAAATTGTTAAGAAATTCAATGACATCTCTTCTAGAGAAAATCCCATGGATCTATTATGATCAAATGATTATAAACAAAACAATTGCTATAAACACTTTCATTACTTAAAAAATATTATTATTCTTCATCTAATTTTAGAGGTTCATGTCAGAAACATAAAAGTCCAAGAAAATGTAAACATCTATCCTCCTGTTTTTATTTTTATTTTTTAAAAATCAGATTAATTACTCTCAGCATCATTACATTTCTTCTAGCAGATCATGGAAATTGGAAATGGTCTCAAGGACCCTTACAAACTCACACTCCCCACTCTATGTATGTCCTCCTTCACAACATGAGCCTTGGGCCAAAGACCCTACCACAGTCTGTGCAAGTCATGCTTGCTCTTTCTCTTTGTCCTTGTTCAGCAAATGTGTGTGGATGTGTGTGTGTGGTGTGTTTAAATATTTCTCCTTTCACACTCTCTGGCTTGTATTGGGTATCCAGTAAATATTTAATGAACAAGTTCTGGCTATTTCTTTGGGATAAGTTCTGAGGAAAAGGACATTTGAATAAATTATTTTCCAAGTCTGAGACCTCATGTGTTTCCATTGGCAATCTAAAGGCCAGTACCCCAGGGAGACACACAAATAGTAATACTTACTATTAGGACATTAAAGTATATGAAACAAAATTGAACCAAAGAAGATAAAAGCAGACAGGTCAATAATAATACTTAATAACTTCAATACCTTAATTTCTAGAGGACAGGAATTCCTATGGATAAGGGAACTGAAAATTAACAAGAAAACTGAAGCTTCTAATGTTAATTAGATCAACAGACATCTACAAAGCACACCACGTAACAAAACAAAATAGACAATCTTAAGTACCTTTAAAACATTTTCAAAGCAGACCTCATTAGGCCATAAAAGAAATCTGGGTGTCAAGGAGGACACCCAGCATTGACTTCTGAGGTCTACATGCATGTACATCCACATGCATAAAACACACACACACACACACACACACTTAAAAACAAAAATATAAAAATCATAGGAAGTTAAGTACTGAAACTGACTCAAGAAGAAGCAGTCAATCTAAATAGATTCTCGAACAAATACAGATTAAAAATGAGAAAGGAGAAAATGAGGCTTAGCATTTAGCTCAGAGGCAGAGCACTTGTCTTGCATATTACGTTTTTAACAGAACCGCTACAAATAAATACGGAAGCGCTCAGGCTTGGCTGGCTTCTCTCTCCACTTACGAACCACTGTCTTTCTAGATACCTTTGCGGATATTTAGTAAACTGCTCAGCTTTTAGGCATAGCAACTGCATGTCTGAATATTCCCTGGGCAGACAACCCTAACGCAGTCCTGATTCTAAGGGAGAATGTACAGGACAGAACCGCAGCAGCATGGCAGGCATCTGAAGGGGTCAGGAGGGGGTTGTCAGTTCCCCTGAGCCTCCTGATGTGGGTGCTGGGAACTAACTCGGGTCCTCTGCAGGAGTGCTGCACTCTCCATGGAGGGGGCTTTCCAGTCTCACACAGCTGGCAACATTCAGAGGCCATCATTTTCTGAGCTTTTAGAAACTAGGTTTGTAGATTTTCTATGAAAACTAGCTAAGGACAAGACCCTTAACTCTTTTCTTCTCAATTGTCTTTTGAAACTGCTTCGATTGTGTTTTAGTATTCAGTCTTACAAATTTTTATTCATTTGTAAGTTATGTGTTTCTCCATGCACAAATCATTTTTCATGCACATTCTTATTTTTTCCCAAGTTGAGTGTTTTAAATGATGTCACTGGCCCAAGCAAATGATCTACATCTAATTCTAAAGAAACCAATTCCTAAACATAAGAAATGCTCTTGCTCTGATTTTATTAAGTACATATAAATTAAAGAACATGCCTTGACTCACCACGTTCCCACCGACATTTATTCCAGAATTTCATCATGCGTATCCATTTTCCCTGCCAATGCTGAAACTGTATTTATTTACTCTTAATTCAGCTGCTCACTAACTGGCAACCTGTCAGGTCATCTTGATGTATCACCATAAAAGCCATGATTTTAAGATGTCAATTTTATGTGTAGTACTGAAAAGCCATTTACTAAGTCTTGGCATGAGGTTCATACTTTTTCATATATTCTAACGTGTAGTCTTCATCATACACGGCTCTGCTTTCACTGCCTGCTACACGTCAGAACTCTACCCGTGCTAGACACTATAGTTTCTGATGATGCCCTGCTTTCGATGTGTTTGTACCTTTATGTATTCTCACTAAAATAATCTCGCCCTGCTCTTTTCTGCTTCATAACAACCCTCTCCTTAAAGATTATACTTACATGTCCTGAATTTGTGAATGATTTCTACCTATCTTCAGTCCAGAACAGCATGTGCATCTGCCTTTATCAACAACTATTAAAATGTTGGTAGTTATCAGTTTATAAGGCATTTTAGGTACTGGACCGTGAGCTCATCAAGGCTAACACATTTCTAGTATTTCACCTCTGAAAGACTGGAGGTCCTCAACCAATTTGTGTTGAATAAATGTTTGTTAAAAAAGAATCTGACAAAAATTAGTATATAACTGCTAATTTCACTAATTAGAATGAACTGAAACAGTTATAATTGCACATACATCCTCAGTCTAGAGCAAAGTCCAATATGATTTACACAAGTTGCACGGCTATTGGGTACCTGGAATGTGGTCAGTCCAAGTTTAGATGTGTTGCGAATGCAAAACACGTACCAGATTTTAGAATTTTGAAATATCTCAATTCTGTGTGTTAGGTTACATGACAAAATACTTTTGCATACAGAGAAGAATGTGAATATCTCAGTTTTGTATGTGTGGTCACATGATAAAATGGCATTTTTACATATTTAGAGTTAGATAGAATTGGTCTTGTCTGGATTATTTTACTGATTTTAATACTACTGTTAGTATATCTTAAGTTACCTAGGCAGTATGAATTATATTCCAAATAGAAAGTGATTTTCTAACAAATTAATTGGCCAATTGGAAAAACACACTGCCGATGCTAATAATGTTATTTTAAAATAACTGGCTTGGAGAATTTGCCTTTTACTTAGTATAGAAATCAAGTTCATTTAAAGCAGGTGCCTAGGAATGTCATAATATCTGGACTTCGCCTCTTAGCTAAGACAAGAAATACAACTTATGATATATTTCTAAAAGTCCAAACTCCTCTAAGCCCCAAGCACTGACAGGTAGCAGTGACTTGATGTCTGCAGGCGAATCGTGAGAGTTTCAGGATTCTGAGAAGCCCAGAAGCCAGATGATGGCTGCAGCTGGAAAGGTAACACAAGACTATCCTTGGGAGCTGGCATACAGGATCATCAAAATCCATCCATGTGCTCACTCGTCTGAGTCTTTATGAGTCTTTGAACTTAAATACAAAAATGGAGGAAACTATATAAACAATGAGTATGGTTTTATTTTTAGGCTCATTGTGAATTGCAGGTAAATAAATAGGATCTTTTATATATTTCACCCTTAATATATAATATTGATTTTCGTGTACATAGACCTCAATTTTAGTTTTAATTCAGGGACCCTTCACAAGGATAAAAACTCCCCTGTCTGTACTACTGGTAAACTGTTGACTGCATGAATGAGAATGCTCTAGAAATTTAAAACACCTAGAAAGTTAAGACATCACTTCCTCTTGACGTCTATTGATTGTGATTGTCCAGTATCTCCATTTCCTTAGGGAATCAACTGATTCTGGTAAAGCGGACATTACAAAAATTCTCAACCAATGGTACTTCCCCCCAGCCCAGGGCTACAATACAGCCTGTGTGAGCGCCCTGGCCCAACAAATCACTTAAGCAAGATGACGGCTTCAGAATAAGAACAACCATGGCAGCACTGTCAAAAATTCTCTTCTTAATAAAAGCTGTTCTGTCACAGCAGAAAAGCAAACCAAAAAGGAGCAGCAGAGCCTAGCCTAGTTTGCTGCACAAAACACTCTCTGCAGATAAATGACTTTGCAAAGGGAATTTATGAAGCAAAATTCTCCTCAATTTCCACATGTTGATACACACTTGCTATCTCATCTCATTCATTTCTTCCACTGTACAGCTAATAAAACTGTTGCATAGAAATTATCTTCATGGTACGCGTGTGTGTTCATGTTTCTATCTGTACGTGTACATGTGTACATAGAAA